TAATCCAAAATACAGTTATGGGATGAATTTAACAATATACCTGGTCAACTCCACCAAAGACCCTCTACAGCCTTTTCTTCCTACTCGCATGCGTCGGCGACTACTTGAAGCCCTTTTCTCTCTTCTTTAGGTATTTGCGTATCTATTAGAACTAAAAGAACAATTTTACTTATTTACTCTACTTCAAACCTAGCAGCAACGTAAAATGGGCTTGGCCCAAATCTTTCGTGCCTATTATTCCAAAGCTATTATATTGCTCCCTAGCCTAGGTAATTATAAATTATGCCTACTAACTATTTAATTAGTACGCAATCTCACATATTATATTAAACCTGTACCGGGCTCCAGAACCAAAATACGGGGCCGATACCAACGAGATCAAACACTAATCAATTTCTTTAAATCCTTAGAATTTCAGTCTTACAATTTTCATCAAAAATTTCTTTCTCGAGCTAGGGACCTCGGAAGTAAATTCCGGGCATATGCCCAAGTCCCATATTTTCCTACGGACCCTCCGGGACCGTCGAATCACGGGTCCGAGTCCGTTTGCCCAAAATGTTGACCAAAGTCAAACTTATTTATTTTAACATCAAAACTTAGCATTCTTCACAAAATTTCATATTTAAGTTTTTCGGCTACACGTCCGGATTACGCACGCAAATCGAGGCGACTCTAAATGAGGTTTTCAAGGCCTCAGAAACACAAAATGGATAAGAAAACAGGTGATGACCCTTTGGGTCGTCATATTTTGTCACAAAATGTAGCATATGTGAATATATGTTCATTATATATGGATGGCACGCACGCAGACACAAAATTATACATATACGTGTACGTGTAGGTAATCTTATTTTTCATTTACTCAACCAAATAAGAAGAAGAATTTTTAGAATTGGAGTAGTAGATTCAATAAAGAAAAATAGCAATACACAAGTCTATCTCTCAAGATTGGATTGGCATAATAGTTAAGCAAAATGTCATATTGTTTTGTATAACTGACCTAATAGAACTATCAAAAAGCCAAAATAACAGCTATTCTTTTTATGTCATTAATTGACTATCGGATAAACCAGTTAAATAAATATGATTCTTTTTTTAAAACTGACACTTTAAATTAGATTAGTTTCTATTTTTGTGTTTCTTTTTCTACTTTTATGATATCTAACTACCAGTAATCTCTATGTGCTCTATAATTTGTTTTGTTTTACACATTGTAGTTCTATTTTCTAATTTTCAATCATGAATTCACAATATTTATAGGAATTTAACTATGTCTATAAAAAAATTATATTATCAATACAACTTAACATGCGAATTCTATTAACTAAGTAATTACTTATATTAATTTACTTTTAAGAGATCTAATACTGTAGAATATTTTATACTATTAGTGAATAAAAGTTAAAATTTTATTTATAGTACTAATTATAATCTTTGACATGTAATCCTTGAAATTTTATTATACATTTATTTATAAGTAGGATATTTAAGTTTTTAAGAAGGATATTTTAGTAATTTAATTTTTTAATTAAGGGATTCCCACTTTTAATATAATATAGAAATAGATATAGATTTTTTAAGAAACCGAATTATGTTTTGAAATAGTCAAAAATCAAATAATCAGAAGCAGCCATAAATTTAAAAAATTCAACAAGTGTTGGTAAAAGACATGAAACTTATTATTTTCTTTAAATTGAGGAAAATAGTTAAAATTCACGTGATGTTTATGTTGGTCCATAGGATGCTGTACCGATGAAATCCTTTGGACGGCCAAACAAAAGATAGTAATCTTTCTTCTTTTCCTCTACTTTGTGATCGGTGCTCCCGCTTCCCTACATCGTTGATGTTCGAAATCTTCATGCTCTTGGTCTTAATATTTAAACAAATGGTTGAATAGATTTTATTGAAAACGATAGTTAGTTACTTATTTAAAAAGACACAACTTTTTCGAAAGGACACTTCAAATTAAATTAGTTTTTTTTCTTCTTAATAAGTAATATTATTATACATTTCTTTATAAGTAGGATATTTAAGTTTTTAAGAAGGATATTTTAGTAATTCAACTTTTTAATTAAGGGCTTCCCATTTTTAATATAATATAGATTATGTATTGAGAGTAGTCTTTTATTTACTTAATTATGTCTTCTAAAACATCTCTTGTGTGCGTCAATTATTTGCACATGAAATTTCTTTTTGGCAATAAGTGGCGGTAAGACTCGAATCCAAGACCTCTATAGTCAAATAAAATTAAAGCTTGAAATGTGTGACTGTTACACATAAAAGTTTAAGTTGTTAGAGAAAGTACATATTTTTTATTTAATTTATAATTTTGATATATCTTAATTATCTTTTAGTCTTCAAGTTCTCTCCTAATATCCTTACAATCAAAGGATAATATTAGTTAATCCTACACCTTTAAGGTCCCGAGTACTTTTAATTTTAATTGAAAAATTAATGACACTAGTTAGTTGGCCTTAATGTAATTGAAAAATTAATGACACTAGTTAGTTGGCCTTAATGTAATTGAAAAATTAATGACACTAGTTAGTTGGCCTTAATGTAATTGAAAAATTAATGACACTAGTTAGTTGGCCTTAATGTAATGATGGAGCCTTGCGAGAGTGGGAACATAATTGGGACTTAGTAATAATATCGAGTGGAGTCGAGTTCAAGTGATGAAAATAATTAATGTTGGAAAAAAATCATAAAGATGAGAAAAAAATAACTCCCATGTATACTTGAATGTGTTGTTGCTCGTGTCACATGCTAGGTGTCGAGCATGCCGGGGAAGCTAAATAAGCTTGTGTGATTTGTGTTTGCCAAGGCGAGCTCAGGTAGTATGACGACCCAAAATCCCATCAATGGTCGTGATTTTACGTAATCTCCATGACAAGATATATCAATCACGCAATGATATAAAAAAAAGAATATAATACGCCTAAAATTATCATAAACAATGAAAACAAACTCCAACAAAGCCAAGATAAAGGTACATAGCCAAACTCCCGAAACTAGGTAATATAGATTCATGAGCTCTAAACTCAATACATAACGAGTATCAAAAAGTACATTACTATATGAAAGTAATACAACAGTATGAAAATAAAGGAAGAGGACTCCAAGGGTTTGGGCATCCATACACCACTACCTTGAATTCTCTCGAACAGTCCAAAGCTAACTCTCGAGGCCCGCTACCTCCAACTCCCACATCTGTTGTCATGACCTAAAACCAAATCGTTGTGATTGCGCCTATCGTGGTACCAGGAAAGACAACTACTCTACCATTTCAACATAACAATAGCTTTGAAAAACACCGAAGTAGTTAAATTTAAGGAAAACCCCTTTAAAAACAGAATAAAACTCGCAACTCAATACACATCTCTCCCAAAATTAGTTGTCACCAAGTACATGAGCATCTATATAGAGATATAGTCTAATACAACATCTAGGGAATAAGAACCGAAACATAAATGAAGATAAGGAAGGAGAGTCATGGTCTGCAAACACCATGCAGCTACCTTGATAATCTCCGAAGATCTTGACTCCACAACTCAGCATCTGCCGTGAGCGGAAGCACCTGAATCTGCACACGAGGTGTAGGGTGTAGCGTGAGTACAATTAACTCAATAAGTAATAAATATAACCTTTTGACTGAAAGTAGTGACGAACTCAATCGGTACAGCTCAATAAAGAAATAACAGTGCAGAAACATAGGCATGCTTTCAAGTTCAATAGTTAAACTCAATACAGTAGGATAGATCAATTCTAAATGATATGAAGAATATAACTTCTCTACTTCTACATGCCAATGCACATGTTGTATGTGATGCACGACGCTAAAAGCCTCGTGTGCTCATACTTTCAAAATTCTCAATCACTCAGTACTATATATGGTCAATTTGACCCAAGGAAGATCCATCCCGAAATATATAGATCAACTGACCATTAGTCACTCATTACTAGGTAGTGCCAATCCATCTCGTGGGGAAGATCCCTCCCCAAGTATAAATGTTTCGGACAAGATCCATATCTAAGGAAGATCCATCTCTCAATATAAATCAATCGCGCTCACTAGGGTGTGTGGACACTTCGGAGGGGCTCCTTCAGCCCAATTGCTATCATAAATAAGTAAAACCCGTTGTGGTGTGCAACCCGATCCTATAAATGTCACTCATAATTAGACCCTCGGCCTCACTCAGCCATCAATTTCTCCAGTCTCTCTCTCACGGGCTCACAATATTGTAAAACTAGCCTGATAATGATGATATGATGTATCAATAAATAATAATAGGGACTGAGATATGATATGTAGTGGATGAATATGACTGAGTACGAAATTTCAATGAAATCAATAAGTCAATAGAAAGAAACGACCACTATGGGTCCCAACAGGACCAGCATATCGCCAAAATATGATCTCTAGCATGATTGACAGCTCAATTACTTTATCACATGATGAAAACACGGATATAACCAATATAAATCCACTATACAGTGCCATGGAATCGACCAGGTAACAATTCTCATAGTGTATGCCCGCACGCCCGTTACTTGGCATGTGCGTTTTCGCGCCCCCTTTTTCCTCACGGAGTCCGGGTTTCGACATTCATTGGGACTAACTCATTTACTTTTGGGAGTTGGGTACGGAATTTGAAGAGTCACCACCTAATGGATTTAAGGTGCGTTAGGCCACCTAACGCAAGTAACTCATAAAACCGGTTTGCATTATCAGAGACTTGGGTAAGGGCTCGAAATAACCTTGAGGGAAAGGTGTTAGGCACCCCTCGCAGTCCACAATGGTTGGTCCCGGACAAACTCAAATTATGTGAATTAGTCTTATAAACAAATAAAGCAAATTAGACAATTTGGTATTTCATTTAAAAAAAAAGGTAAAAGGGGTCCTAGGTTTTTAGCCGACAAAATCACTTCTGTACAATGCTTGGTAATCGTCCCAAAGTTGGGTTGCTACACATAGCATTAGCGCACAGGTCATCATATCCTTTACTACCCGTTACCCTCCCCTTAGTGGTTGTATAACCGATGCTAATTAAACGTACTCTATGTGTGCATTACTTGTCACTTCCTTGTGGCCCTGGAGGTGTTTAAGACCTCTAATTAAGGCAGTTCTAGACTCTCCTAAGGTGTTTAAAAGGAGAAAATCTAGGAGACAAGCAAATACAAATAGAACATTCACATAAATAGG